TGGGCGACGACTAGTTGGTTATAAAGACTATCGGATATTTTGATTAAAATTTGCTGGTCCTTTCGATGTTGTTATCTGTACATAATTAAGTTTCAAGCAGAACTGTCATTCTAATTGGATAATTGACATGCGTTGACATTAAGAGTACTCCGCTTGCTGATATCCTCTTCAAATCAATTCCTCGGTGACGTTAACCCAACGAATTTAATTTACAAACACTCGAAATAATCGGATTATTATACCAATTATCGTATGTGCTTTATGATGCTTTAATTAGTAGGTCACACAACTCCGTTGTTTATTTAATTACGTGGATAAAAATATTTGAAATAATACGTGCAAATATTTTGTTTTTATTTAAAACTAGTTGTAGCTCGCGACTTCTTATGGGCTTAATTAAAAAAAAAAACTTAATTAGCCTATGTTTTCTTCCAGACTATGTACTATATGTATGCCAAATTTCAGCGAGATCCTTGCAGCCGTTCTAGATATACCTACTAACAAACATCCATCCAAACATTCGCATTTATAATATTAGTAACATAGTAAGATTATATCATGCGTTGTCTGATATAAGATAGTCTTTTGTTTTATTATATGTATAAAAAATATTTTAACAGTGTTATAATGAATTTTCTTATGTGGTCTGTTTATAACAATCAATTTAGTCTTCAAATAAAATCAAATCCCTTTCATGTTACCTACTTATTGTGTAGTAAATAATAAAAGTAATATTGAAAATATACAACAAAATAGATATTCTGTCGAAGAAGCAAGTATGTTTTTCTTATTCGAGCCACTAGACAGGAAACGACAATGCGCATGAAAGAAAGCGTACGTTCGAATATAAAAAAAACAACATTCTATTATTCGGTACAATGAATCTAAACGATGGAAAGCGTCAAAAGCTTATTCCCTTTGTTGTAAAATTTTGCGACTATGGTTACACTTGTAAGAATAACACGTAGAGAAAAAGCTTTGTTTTATAAGCTTTTATTTAGTACTAGCTGTCGCCCGCGACTCCAACCGAGCAGAATTAAAAATAAACTTAATAAGTAGCCTATTAGTACTTCCAGACTATGTTCTACATCTTTGCCAAATTTTAGCGGGATCCGATCAGCTGTTCTGGAGATACCCTCAAACATCCAACCATCCATCTAAACCAGTCTTTCCCAAAGTGGGCGATAACGCCTCCTTGTGGGCGCTCTAGGTCTCAAGTTACGGGTCATAGTAAAAGTTTCGTTTGGAGTTCTCCGTTTTATATACATTTATAGGTCACAATAATTAATGAATTTAATTTGAAGTTACAGTGGTTTTTAAGCATGTGAAAATATGGGGGCGCTAAAAAAATATTTATTCTCAAAGTGGGCAGTAGACAATATAAGTTTGGGAACCAATGATTTAAACATTTGCATTTATAATATAAGTAAGGTCCAAATTTTATTTATTAAAATTACTTAATATTTTCAGATGATTTAATGATGTTATATTGTAGTACTTGTTAATATTTATTTTCTTTTAATAAATATTAAAAAGTCCCGTTTGTAACAAAGTACGCCACAAGTTGCAATGGAATAAATCTACTAAGGTCGTAGATAAATGGCTTGATGTCGTTTAACATCACTGTACCGAGAAATGGAGGCATGCTCTATAAAGTAATGAATTTACTTCCTATAAAGTATACTTTTCCTTAAAAGGTATTTCTAAAGATTTTCCTTAACTTTAACTTAAAGATTATTTACTTAATTTTAACTTAAAGATATAAATACTTTTAGCTACTTACTTTTTAAATTATCTTTATAAAATTCTCTTGTCACAAATTTCGTTCCCACACTCCTCCGGCGGCTTGACCGATTCTCATGTAATTTTGTGAGCATATTGAGTAGGTCTGAGAATCGGCTAACATCTGTTTTTAATTCCGCAAGGACGGAGGCGCGGGCGACAGCTAGTAGTATATAAATAAATTAGACAAAATTTGAGACCGAAATTCCGGTTCAAAACAGATTACGACTGCTTTGTCAAACATAAGTGTTTTATACAGATATTGTGATCTCAGAAACCCAAGGTTAGTTGTACAAAGTAAATAAACTGATTTGGGGATTACAGAGATATTGATTTCAGTGGTTAATTTACGATATGTGCCAACGATTGTTATTAAAGGCAGCTTAAAATAATGTCCCTGCGTAAGTAGTTTAGTACTTAATTAATTAAAATACAAAGTTCGAAATATAAGGTTCCTAGAGTTCAAGAGTGGTTTACATTTAAACATTAACTCGGAAACATTAACAGTCGAGGCAATTTATTTCCTACCCATTTTAGTGAATTCATTTGATGCAATTAGGTCGAAAACTTGTCATAGCAATGTACATAATGGGCTCATAGCTCTTATGGTGACAGTTTGATGTACGATATTCGATTTTAGTGGGAAGCGAATTTATTTCTTTGACTATATATCAGAACTTTCCAGAATGGGAAAGTAGCAAGCACTGGAGTTTAATTGTTCCGTACTTATCCGTTTCATAACAGATTATGACGGACGATGATCCTCCTATTGTACTATTTTATTAATTTTTAAAGAGCGCTTAGTAATAAGATGGGTATTAATGTTGCTGGTGGGATAATGGCGAATATTTCTAATTTTATAAATTTCTTCAATTAGGTGAATAAATTTCTTCTCTTCGATTTGATGAATCATTGAGATTTTATCCTATTTTAATATGAAGTATACAATAGAACGAAAATTATCTCATTACTTATTACTGCGGTTGCAATTCCATTGTGTTAAACAAAATGAGTTAATTTTTCTATTTCAATAAAAAAAAATACAGCCGTTTTAAAGGTATCTTCAAAGAAACATCCATCCATCCAATTATGACAAGTAATGATTACTACATGATTTACAATGAACTACTAATATTTCATCAAAAAATACGGGATTCCCATGAATCCATAAAGTTATGAAAACAAAAAGGAAATGGTTGGAAGTCAATTTATCATTGTAAATTTTTTCTTTGTTCGTGCATTACGGAACGCTTTTTACTTCAACCCTCACGCAAACGCCGGCACTCCCTACTACACCTTATTAGTTAATTGCTTTAAACAGTTTTGAAATTTAGAACTGAATAATAATGAATAAAGTTTTATTATTTTAGTAACCCTTTTTAGTTAGTTAGTTTTTCTAGACTTTTTCATGCGAATTTGTTACGTAGAGTTTCATTTTTTATTTCTACTTTGTTAGCTAGGTTTAATCTGATTTTATAAGCTTTTTAATACAAATGTAAGAAAATACTCTACTATTATATGTACAGTTAGGGAATTTTGCGGTGTCCCACTTACAGAAATATTGTCTTATTCCTTGCAATGAGACAAACTCCATCCCTTCTCATATAATGAATAATTAATTAGGTAGCAGTGATTTGCGAAAATGATGGCGTAATAATAGTCACAAAAACGATTAGTCGTATACTAATTGACAGTTTTTCGAAATGTTAACAACTGACTGACTGGCTTTTAAGGTAGAATACTGCCAGTTTCCCTGACTGTACATACATTTCTATACCTAAATTTCTTATTATACAGTACGGTAAAATTTGCAACTTCTAGTAGCGTCGGGCGAATTTAAGCTAGTAGTGCTAAATTAATGGGTCATTAATAAGGATAATATGCTAATTAAGTGATGTTATTTGTAATAATATTATTGTAAAACTATTGTAAAAGCATTATGTTTTAAGTTGTACGTTTCTTTGGTATCATAATTTTTTTTTTATAATCCTGCTCCAAGTCTATATGTAAAGAGTTAATTAATGTTTTCTTTAAAATACTCACGTCATATTATTTTAATTACATTTTAATTAGCTTAATGTATGTCTGTCATAGTTTTGTAAAGGTCTAACGGAAATTGCTCGTCCTTGTTTCATTACGTTGTACAAGTTGAAATGTATACCAGCTTTGATTATACAGAAATAGACTAGACAAAGAGTCACCATTGTACTAAAAACTTTCTGCCACTTTTCGAGGGATGTAAGGTAAACATAAATCGGATATGAGCATATTATGCTGACTGCATAATTGACACGTCTTTATGATTATATGTTATTTCAAAAATTTATTCAATTCCACTAAAACAGCACACAAGTTAGCAACTTCAGAACTTACTGTTCATTTTTTTTTGAGAGATGGGAATGCCTGCGTTTGACAGGTCCTGCTATTAAAAGTCAAAGTCAAACAGCGAACTAATCCTAACACAAATGATTGTCAAATAGAACTATTACGAACTATCCTAAATAAATATTGATAGGCCTTGTAAAATCATTAGATTCAATACGAAAGATTTATTCTTTCAATTAATCATCACATGAGATAGACTAAAGAACATTATGTTAATTGGATCTTACACACATTATAATTTTACTTAGGGAGTACTCAGTGCCGCACTTAGCATCTTTTAATGAATTCTTAGTCTCTTAGTGTAGGTTTCTTCACCGTGGTTAATCCCTCAGTAGCCAGTTGACATCTGATTACGAAGTTTGTGTAGATACAGTAAGACAAATATACTTGAATCTGATTAAATGGAGGATATACTGTGTTTTAATTTTTTTTAAATCTTCGCTTAAAACATCTTGTTATCTCTGTTTTGTCAAAGATATTGGACAGGGATCACGATAAGTTTTTACAGATATTTTGGTCTCAGAAACCCACAATAAATCTGCCCATAAACCAGATTAATTTAAGAGTAAAAAGTCTGTAAGTAGTGTCCGAAAAATTTGGAGAGAAATCATAGTAGGCTTAACACAATACGATCGTGTTAGACCATTCATATATTTTTTTAAATGATATTCATAAATAAAATGTCATTGTTTTTAAATTATGACATTTATAGACCTGCATTTTTTTGAGGGGGAAAATGAAAGGTTTTCATTGTAACGTCACGCGAAATTGATGGGCGTACCATGAGTTGTCCAAGCAAGGGGCCGCTATATTGCTTCAGTCTAACGGTCGTACTCGGTTTGGTAACACGCTAGTTTTTATTTTTAAATCATTGTCTAATTACTCGACTACAGAGATGTGACACGCTTGCGCATACCCAAGTAATAAATTCATTTGTGTGAACCAATTGTTTTTAAAACAAATGTTTAGATTATTATTTTGTTTTTAATATTTTTATTTAAAAGCACCTGTTCTTTGTTTTTAAATTAGACTTTATGAATAAGTTTTAGAAGTGGAATAATCATGTTTGAAAAATTATTTTTATTATTTGCCTGTCTAATATTGCCGCGGCCATCGTATATGAACCCGGATAATATTGGTATGTTATTATTTTTGTTATCTTTAATAATGTTTCGAATACTTGTTTACGTTGGGTAGTAACTAAAAGTTAAACGTATTTCGTATTGTTTGTATTGCGTATATGTTTGAGATATGTTACTGCATCCCAAATTCTTACTCGCTCTTTTCAAAGAGATATTTTGCCTATGTTATAAGAGATTCTAGTATCTTACTTAGATGTTGTAATATGTTTTAATATTTGCGTTATTTTCTTTCCAATGCTCACTTGTTTATGTTACGTAAAAACCCATGTAAAACACAATGTTATGTACAAATCTTATCACCGGATACGATAATAATTCAGTGTGTGAATTGACGGATATATAATGTACATATTTAAGTAAATTTTTGTATCAATTCACTATTGTTATGTTTTTGATTATTTTATGAATAGACACTGACGATCTTGGATAGGTATGTTTCTCGATAATTATGAAACCATTTTCATACAATACTGTTACTGTTAAACGAATTATTATAATGTCTGTTTCCACTACTGAAAGTAATTCAAACACATATTGTTATCTCACTCATTTTTTTTGAAAAAATAGAAATGACAATATGTATTTCCGCTGGTATGTTGGTAGTGGAAACGTACTTTTAGTGTTTAATATCACTGGTTGGAATATATGTAGAAATATAAACTCGTATCTTACAAATTGGCCGCCCTAGAGCTAATACTTATAAAAAACAAATCAACGCAAGTGTTCCTTAGGGGAACATGGGATTGCGGTAATTCTGTGCGCGTCTGTACTCTACAGAGTACCCTACAGGGTGTCCGACATAAAAACCAAATCCTTCTATATAACTACAGTTAGTAGACAAATTGAAGTTTACAGATTGAAAATATAAACAGCAAAAACATCTCTTGTCGACCAAAAGTTGTTAGATATAAAAATATTATATATAGCAGTTGCTGGCGACTTTGTCCGTCTTAAATTAAAAAAAATATAGCCTTTGTCACCCGGGGGCTAGTGTAGCTTCTCAACAGTGAAATAATTTTTAAATCTTTTTTGTTGTTTCGGAGCCTATTCAATGCAAACAAACAATCAAACCTTTCCTCTTTAAAGCATAGACAAAATAATCTTTTTCAAGATTTTCCGATTACAAATTTGTACTCAAAGCTGTTTTTCCTTAATTCTATATTATCAATGGCACTTGAGTAATCAATGTACGTATATAAAGTGAACGTACATATATCCTGAGATTTCTCATACAAAACTCGGGGATATATTGTAAGACGTCGCGAATGGAGTCAAAGGAAACTTCCGTATACGAATTAGCGCGACTCAACGAATTTGTATTTATTTTATATCAAACATATTCGAGTTATTTCGAAATGTAAACAGATAAAAGATTTCGTTTCCTTTATATTTATATCAGTAATCATATTTACGTAATTATAAATGTTTAAAGGTTAGACATTTTTGGCTCTATAACACGCCATTATAACTCAAGCTAGAGCAACTTGTTAACCGTGGCTTTCTGAGCACAAAATCCGTGATTTTGGTCTCTGAAACCAACCTTCATTCTCTTTATAAGCTATAATTTTTTTTATATATTTATTTATTATTGAATTTTTTTTAGGATTGTTGACAAGCACTTTGAAAACAATGCAAAGAGCAGCTTGTGATGATGAAATGGTATCGTTGGGATGTCCTGCTGGGACTTCTATAAGTATTCAAGTGGCACAATATGGGAAAGCTGCGCCACAAGGACATAAATGCGTCATGGAAGGATTGAATTCAGAAGGTTTCGGAATAGAAGATAAAGAAGTATGCTTATGGCCTAATTCTATGCAGGTTGGTGGATTACTTAACGATACATTTGCGTTGGAAGCCATATGATTACAATATGTTTGTATATCGAGATATTTATGAACACAGTAATAGGTACCAATTTTCCATAATGGAGATAAATTTAGAATATTGGAATTATTTCAAATTTAACTACGTAAAATATTAGTTCTAGAAACTTTAATTTAAAAGTCGACGATAGAGATATTTACTTAGACTTATATTTTGTGAAATATAAATTTTCGATTAACTATATTTTATTTTTCCAGTATTCTCTTCTACAAACAGTTGTAGAGGCTTGCCAGAAGAAGCCGCAATGCACTTTCAGTACAAAGTCAAAGCCGGGTACTGTTGACCCCTGTCCGTCTTCTAGGAAGTTCATTGAAGTTGCGTATAAGTGCAAACCTTGTAAGTAGATAGTTTGTAAGGCCATTATCGTTTGTTTCCACTGCGTAAAATCTGTACAAAAACATATTGTTATCCCTGTTTTTTTTTTTAAATTGATAAGAGGGATGGCAACATGTTTTTGTGTTTGGCAGAGGAAACTCATAGTTAGAGTAATTATTATGATGTAGACGTAGATGTAGACGTCTGAGTAGTTGTAAGTTTCAAAAGTATATTGTAAAATTTACTTTTATATAACTATTAGGGATAGATTCATCAATAGAGTTTCGAACCGCACCATAAATATCGGAAGCCAGAGCTGACGTTTTCGGTTAACCGAAACAAAAGAATAGGGAAGTGTATTCACTAATCATGGGGCCAGGTTTTTTACGAGGGCACCGGTGAGTGTATTGATGTGATTTATGCTGCGTTATTAAATTCCGGAGAGGTCGGTGGCCGTTTGCCGGTGGTCGGTGCGAGGCGATGCGATGGCGCGGGCGTGGCTAACCACAGGAGTGGACTGGGTGCGCCCTTATTAGTTGAACGAGGGACTAGCGTGCTGCATTAAGTTACGGAAAAACAATTACTGTAGTACACTCTATGTCAAAACTAAGTAGTACACATTCCAATAAATAGTATTTTTTTTAAATTGAATAAGCTAGCGCTTGACCACAATTCCTTCTGATGTTAAGTGATGTGGTCGAAAGATGGTACGCATTAGTTTAGTAAATGCCTATTCACTCTACTCTTGAACGCCCCTTGCCCTCACGTCATACTTGGACGAAAAAACTGACACCGACAATTCTTTCTCCTGAAGGCATCCAAGATAGAGTCACGGAATAAAACACGTTTTATAAAAAAGCACGTTAGATTTTCTTCAAGCTACATCTCTAAGTAAATTATATATGTTAATAAAATTTCACCTAGAAAAAAAGAAATAATGAATAGATTTCTAATAGTGTACTACTTAGTTTCAAGTGTTTAAAGGACTTTTAGTAGAAAAATACATGATTTATTTGTTGGTAGTTATTTTAAAAAACTTATACTTTTTAAAAGTATTTTAAGAGACAGGTTAATAAAATACTGACAGTATTATTTCAAACTTAATATTATTTAAATGGAATTCTAAATGGAAATACCAATTAACTATCAAAGTTCAAATGTTTTAAATTTAAAACAAAACACAGAGATAGCCTTTGTGTCAAATTGATAGCAATGATTTGTTTATCAACTTTGGGTTTTAGTTAAAACAAAGTGTTCCTATAAGGGTTCCGTTTTTTTCCTATGAGATACGGAACCCTAAAAACAATATTACGGAAGAGCAAGTATTTAAGCAATAATATAACTAAAAGCGTTTAACCTAATAAAACAACATAGTAAAAATTAACTATACACTAAGAAATACACAATAAGAAAAAATTAACTATACACTAACCCAACCCACAGTTCTGTTTGAAATGTCAATAGAAAACAAGCTTCGTTGCAATTAAGTTAGTGTTAATTTCCCGAGTGCAATAATGGTGAATTGTAAATCTTTGAAGACTTGTTTATTTCGTCTATGTTAGGCTGCATTTTTATATGCAAAGAAATAGATTAGCAAACTTTAGTATTGAGGTCGAAAACATCCTGTAGATATCGGCTAAGAAATTTAGCTAAGATATGTGTAAAGTCAACGAACTCACACTGAACAAACGTGGTTGACTAAGTTTAGTCATACATAGGAACATAATATAATATGAGCGTATATCGAATGTGTTGCTTTATATTTAAGCTAAGAAAACTAAACGAACATTTCAAATATCTGTCACAATAAAATAAATCTTTTTACAGTATATTTCGTTTCGGATTTTACTTATACTTTACAATATTTGATTTGATTATTACTTTTCGTACTAAACAATGAAAGTAAACGAAACATCTCCTAGAAATATTAAGGTGGTTTATAATATAATGAAAAGCATTTGCTCTTTTAAGCATAATCAAACGCATACGTAAATTATAGTTGATAAATTTAATCAATGTTTGTTTTTTGTTTAGATGAGTTCCGAAGTCGAACTGGTTGTGAAAATGATGTTTTGGCTGTTACCTGTGATGCACATACAAGGATAGCAATCCTTGACGCTCAGTATGGTCGTATTCCTTACGAATCGAACAAATGTCCACAAACACACGGAATTAGTGAAGAGAGTAAGTCTAAATTGAACCTTTAAAACACTTATTGTTTGACCTTTACGCACTGCGCAACAGATCAGCTCGGCCCATAATTTTTTTGCTGACGCTATTTTTTGTTCCAAGGTCATTGCTGACGAATTTTTTTATTGCGCAACATCTATTTTAGATGTAGAGCTAAGATTAATAAGATCGACTATTTATACACTTGAGGAATTGAGAAGAGATAAATTGGGAGCACTATTATATGAATGGTGAAACCTATATTAGAAATGTAATAAAGCTAAGTTATTATTAACAACAAGTTTCATCCATAAATTCGAAGACAAACAAATATTAAATTGATTAATTCCACCAGCTTGAATAAAGTATAAATTAGCAAAAATAGATAAATAGAAAATAAAACTTGATAACTGAAAGAATCGTTTGTAGCACCTTAAACACTTTGCTTTGTGATGCACATGACAGATGTTTGCTGTTGTCAGTGCCCACTAGTGCGCTTGCGCATTCGATTTACATACATATACTACAGTAACTTGTTATACATTCAAAGGAATTTTATAATATTTAGTGGTCTATATTTTTTTAGGTTGTAAAGCGCCACACGCAACGGAAACAGTGATGCAAATGTGCCACGGCAAACGTCGATGTCAAATATCTGTTACACAAACAACATTCGGAACTCCTTGCAAACCTGATTCAAGACCTTATCTTAAGATTGTGTATGCTTGTGGTAAGTTACTATAGAACGTGACCTTAAGAAGGTCATAATGAGCATTTTCGTTAACATCAGTTGTCTTTACTGTAAAAATAGTTGAATATTATTAATTTGATACGATATTTCTAGTGCCCCTTGGAGTTATGACAGATAAATATGAAAGCGCTTTGGAAAAAGATGAAATGTTAAATTTTCCTTCTGGTGCAGAAGATAACTTTTTCGATGAAACAGGTGAGTAAAAGTTCAGGTTTTGGAAACTAAAGACGGCGGAAAATATGAGGATGGAAAGAGCGGTTGAATTCAGATGAATTATGGAATATTATATTATAAAATAAAAAGACAAAATGAAATTATAAAATAGAATTATAAAAAATGAAAAGATAAGCATGCACTGTTAGAGGATATATTTACAACTGATATAAAATACAAAGAAAAAGGAAGAAAAAATATATAAAGTTCCAAATACAAAAATATAAAAATTATGATTAAAAAACGTGTAAAAAGGTTCCATATCTGTCGGCAACAGAAACCTTGTAGATAAGTCAATAGTTTAATTTGTAACAATACATATTTAGTTTCGAATATTAACGATGTTTACAATAAACTAAACTATTATTAAAGTATTTGTATGATTTTAGATGAATTCGGTGAACAAAATGGTGCTCCACCTATATCGATTCCAGTGCCTCCTTCATCGCAAGATAACTCATATGATAACCAACAGTCAATTGATGTTACAACAAATGAAAATAACAATGAAAACGTACTATTACCTGATGCAACGAATACTAAAACATCTAAAATGTTAATATACGCTGCCGTTAGCATTCTAATATTAATAACACTTGTATTTGTTGTGATTGTATTACGTTATATTATAAAACGTAGAAAAAAGAACAATCCTAAAACAAATGATATGTTCACAACTGAAACTCCGAATATATTTGGCGATGGACTTTCTGATATTGACAATGATGTTGATGTAAGTCATATTTCTGGTAATTTTTATGATCCAGTTCATCCTGATATGATTCTATATAAAGATGTACCAGGAAATTCTACTCTAAGAGCTATGCGACCTCTTTCGACTGTATATCCATGTTCTAGCACTAATATGTATGGTGCAGTTAATTACCCATCGCAAGCTAGAAATTTCTCATCTAGTAGATTAAGCGAGAACAAAATAATTGATAACGATATTATTGTTAGTCCAAAAAGTTTAAGAGGATATTCTAATTCGCAATTCTTTTATGGCTGACATCTTTTGAGGTTAATTTAAATTTCCAGAAAGTATTATTTTTGTGTATTCAAAGTGTAAGGAACCATTAATCGTAAGACACGCTGATCTTTTTAAATAAAATAGAAGCTTTAAAAGCAAAACTATATGAGACTATGTTACCACCGAACCTTATCCTAGTCACTATGCTATGTATATTTAAAACTATGTCATATTTTGCACCAATTAAAGCTATTATCATTGTATTAATTTAGTATTGTCCATGTTAACCTACTTTAAGACACAATTGACCTTTCCAAACATAAAATCATCCATTTTTGTGTTAATAAAAGAAATAGTTTTTTATAATATCATTAGAGCGTCGGTGGCTCAGGGCTCAAGCACTTGACTTGCAATCTGCAGGTCCTGGGTTCGAATCCCGCCATGTACCAATATGTTTTTCGATTTCCGATTTACATATGTACATTTATCCGATATTCTTATGGTGAAGGAAAACATTTTGATGCAACCTGCACATATCTGAGAAGAAATTCAAAGATATGTGTGAAGTCAACCAACCCGCACTTGGCCAGCGTGGTTGACTATGGCCTAATCACTCGTAACTTAGGGTTGGATCCGAGCCCCTCGGTGGGGACGCATCCACTATATGAAGCCGCTGATGATGATGATGAAATACGAGTATATTAAAAAAATGCATGAAAGTTTTAATTCTGTTTCTTGTATTGAAATTCTTATAGGAGAATATGTCTGCTTTCAGCTGGCTCTCTGACTACGTGACGTCACCAGTGCTCACTAAAGTACTGTGAGTACTGAGAACGTTATGTTAGCCATCGGCTCGTCGTTGGTATCGAGTTTAGAGGCGCATTTTTAAATCATTGTAAAAGCAATAATTAGTTTTATATGGAAACTTTGTATATGATGTTTTGATTCATGATGAAAATCAATTTACTGGAAAGGTCAATATTTTTTGTATTATTAAGTTTTTAAATAAAAAAAATGCTATAATCGGTAGTAATTTTTGTTGTTTTATACATATTTTGTAATAAAACTTAAGAAATACAATGTTTTATTTTTTTCCTAAGCCAAAGTATCACCAACGCTTTTTTAATTTCTTACTTTTTAAAATATTTTTAAAGGTATTCCATTTAGATTTAATTTTTTTTAAAGTTCATTGTACAGTGAGTTTCTGAGATGTAAATACCCATTTAAAACATATTGCTATCTCTGTTTTGTGAAAGATAATGATAACGAAGTATTGTATACAGAGGTTTGGTTCTCAGAAACTCACGATTAACACTCTTTTGATCCATTTCGAAGTCTAATATAATTAAAATGTTTTATTGATTTATTCGGAATGTATTTACAAAAAATGTTGTGTGAGGATGTCATTAATTTCCCCCAACGGATGTACGTTCTGAACGTAACAACGAAAATCCATTATGGCTTTACGATTTCTATAAAAGTAAATGGATGTAATAAAAACAGGCTTTTGTTTATAGTAAAATAATCATCTTAAAGAAACAACAATTTAGATTGTATGAACAAAAACAAAATCATACGAAACATAGTATATATACTCAGTAATAGCACAGATGCATTATAGACAGAGATTGCAGATTTATTAATCGATCTGTCTAAGTATGCTCTGTGTAAACTTCTTCTATGTATTTATACTATTATAAAATATTTTAGATGGAGAGATGTATATTATACTACTCTTCGCCTGCGACTCCGTTGACACGGAATTAAAAAAAAACTTATTAAGTAACCTATGTGTTCATCCGGACTACGTTCTGTGCCAATTTTAATCGTGATCCGTTGAGTCGTTCTGGAGATACTTTGTTGTACATCCAGCCATCCATTCGGATGAAATATTAGATGGTCGCTATGATGCTTAAGACTTTAGTGAAAACTTTAAAACAAAAAAACTAAGACTATCCTTGTAAAGCAATTTTAAAACTTAAATCTAAAGTTTACCTCTTTCTTTTTACCTTTATTGATGACATAAAACATTCTGCAACATTTACATTCTCAGAATTTTGGTATAAGTCGTAAAAGTAGTTAAAGAAATTTGCAATCGTGTCCAAAATACAGAAAACGATTTGTATTTGTCAAGGCGTACTGAACATTTTGCTTAAGGCTTTCCCTTTAAATCAAGACATTTCAAAAAGAAATCTAAATCTTCAGAAGGAATGAAACTTTATCTGCAACATTATTTTTAATCTATCACAAAGTTTAAAAGAACAGATTGTAGATTTCGAATTATCTATATATATATATAAAAGAAAGTCGTGTTAGTTACACTATTTATAACTCAAGAACAGGTTTACCGATATGATTGAAAATTGGTGAGGAGGTAGCTTAGAGCCAGGAGACGGACATAGGATACTATTTAATCTTTTTTTTCGAATTTATGCCTTGAAGAGCTACTTTTTATTTAACTTATCTATATATTAAGTTTTTTTTTGTAACGCGAAAATCTTATTAAGAAGTCGTATTACTTTGAATTTAAAAGTGATTGAATAAAAAATAAGTCGTCAGAGAAAAAATGTAATTCCTGATTTGAGTTTTACAGACTATACGTTTCTTTTAACACTGTGAATGTTAAAAGAGTAATTTTAATATCTATGAAAAATTCACAAGCTAGATAGTATTAAAACTTACAAAATAAGTACGTCAACTTTGTAAAGAACTTGTAAACTACTTTTAAATTTTATATAAACAAGATACAAAGCGGCTAAGGTTAGTCTTTGATACTTTAGTTTTCAAGTAACTCTTTACTAAGGTAAAAATTATTTTCAAAGTTATGAACAGCATGAAATCAAAATCATTCGTTTTAAATTTTTTCTACAAGAAATTAAATATTTTTCATGCGTTAGTTATAGTATATAACAGTGGTAGAGCCCGCTTTAACATCTTTGCACGAATTGGCCCGGCACGCCCGATGAAATACCACACAGAAGACAGGCGTCAAGTGGAAGCAATTCCGCGTTTCGTCTGATAAGTGTGCGTCCCGGAGGCCTAATTTACTCCTCTTTCCCTTCCCACCCTTTATCTTATAAGGAAAGGATGGGAAGTGGAAGTGGAGTTTCCGGATGAGAGGATGCATAGAAAGGGAAGATATTTCCTTTCTGTGCATCCTCTCCTTCGTCGTTAAAAGGTCGGCAACGCATATGCATTTGCGTATGTCTATGGGCAACGGTTACTTCGCTATTTCAGCGATTTCAGGTGGCCGCTGGCTCGTTTGCTACCTTATGATATAAAAATTATATAAAAATATAAATTTCATCAATAACAACAATGTAAATTGTAATTATTCTATAAATTACTTTCATACTTTAGTAATTTTATAAATATAACTAATCAGTTGTCGCCCGGGATTCCGTCCGCGCGGTATTAAAAAAAATAGTAGCCTATGTTTTCTTCCAGATGTTATACATCTGTGCCAAATTTTAGCGAGATCCATACACATGTTCTCGGGATACCTTTAAACAAACATCTATCCATCCATACAAACATTAGCATTTATAATATTAGTAAGAAGATAGTAAGATGGATATTAATGTTTTGAGCAGTGTTTTAATAAATAGAATTGTTAATAGGGTTTGTAGGGCTATGAGTATCATTTCTAAATTATATCGAGAGAGTGATAGTCTATCCATCCATCCAAATATTCGCAATCATAGTATTAATAATAAGTAAGATTTAAATACAGATTCGAACTTCTTTAGTTCAATTAATGTTACAGAAAAAACATAAAGAGAATATAAATAAACTATATACTGATATGTTACATCCTAGCCAATGTGATATTATATTTCAAACTAGAAGGCCATGAAATATTCAATCTGGCAAGACTTAAGCCCTCGCACAACATAAGTTTGACAGACTAAGCGTCCGCCTGGCTCGACAGCTTGAGTCCGAGTGGGACAAAGCCCTCTAGTATCTAACTTGTTAAACAACTACAAGAATATTGTATAGAATATTACTAAAAGCAATTTCTATATTAGTATAAATTTATCTATATTTTAAAAGTGGAATATGTATGAAATTATTATTTTCTAGTTTTTGATATAAATTGTAGAGTAAAGCCAAGAATTGTAATAAACTAAAGAACAAACACAATCAAGCTTTTTTTTTATTTTACTTTTCTTTTTTGTAAACTTGTAATTCTTTTTTGTGCTTTTTGATTCTCGTTAATGTATAATATTTGTTCGCGCTAAAACATTTGTGTAAAATACCACTATCGTCGAGGACCTATAATTGGCGATATGTTTACTAACTATTGTTGTACTTAATTTATGGATGGATGGATGGATGGATGGATGGATGGATGGATGGATGGATGGATGGATGGATGGATGGATGGATGGATGGATGGATGGATGGATGGATGGATGGATGGATGGA